AGCATGCATTGTCAAGTACTGGTGATCACCAAGCTCAAAATGTTATATAAAATGAGGCTGATTTCAAAAAATAAAATATAAACATAACTATAATCATACTGGCAAATTGGTTTGATGATATGAGAATCACCTCTAGGGGGGAGATGATAATTTGAGAATTAAAAGCTCTTATCATCAAGAAACTTTAAAGTAGAAACAGTGAACACCAAGGCTACAAAATATTTCCAAAACAAAACAAAAGGAAGCATATGTTCCCTGAATCAAGGAAGCATATGGTCTCCGAATCAGATTCAAGACAAATCTGAACTTCTCCTATTTGACTACTTTCTCAGAGACTAATCATTTTCTGTTTGAGGTGATTTTACTGAGATTTTTAATATGTTTCACAGTGAGTGTGTGAGATTTAAAGACTTTAATTTCACCTCTGAGTTTTTCTTAAGGCTAGTTTAGACAAAATTACAACTTTGTTAAAAATATACTCTAGGACTGGGATTGTGGCTCAGTGGTACAGAGCACTTGCCTAGCACGTGTGAGGCACTGGGTTTGTTTATCAGCACCACATAAAAAAATAAACAAATAAAATAAAGGCATTGTGCCCATCTTAAACACACACACACACACACACTCTAAAATCCATTGTTCATGGTAAAACTTTGATAAGTGGATTAATTATTCCCACATGAAAACACACAATTCATAATTTGGAGTTCCATTTTCACTTCTAAGAAATAATTACTTTAGAACAAGTAATGCTCAACAGTAGTCCATAAAGGCAATACTAAATGCCAATGGAAAGATTCATAGATGCCAATGGAGCACACTGACTAGGCAGTGGCTGGGCCCATGCCAAGCAATACAGGAAACTGTTCCACTGTTAGGGATAAAAACTTTGAAAAAGCAAATTTTAGGAAGTCAATCTCTGAAAGACGAGAAAAACTGAGTTATGACAATTAAATGCAATATAAATAATAAATACATGAAGGGACTTAATAAAAATAGGGGAAGAGAACAATTAGGACAACTAGGGAAATCTAACTCTAAACTGTACATTAGCCAACCTTATTGTAGCAAGTTTCAATTCCCTGAGTGTTACGTTATATTGTTCTCAGGAGTTATATTCTCCAGTATTTAGGATTCCATAAAGGCTCAATAAAAAAATAAAAGTGTGTGTGTAAAAAAGGAGGGGAAAGATGTGGCAAAACATTAACAACTGGGGAACCTAGGTAAAGGTGCTCACTGAGCTCTTCTTTAAAGCTTTCTACAAGACTGACTGTGATCAAAATGAAACCTTGTAATAAAAAAAAAAATTCAGAGAGGCCTGAGCTTGTGATGCAAGGCATTGTCTCCAGACTGATCAGGCCTTTCTTTCTTTCTCTTTTTTGTTAGTTCAAAGAGACAAAACCAGAGGGAAACCATTCTGTAGACATTTTAAAAATTGGTAGTAGACAAACAATATAAAAGAGATGCCCTTATTAAAGATTAATATCAAATCATGTTATAACTCTCCAAGGCTTTTCTCTGACAGGCTCACATACAAAACTAAGGGTTTTATTGTTTTGTTTTAAACCATTTTCAGGAGAAGAGAGCTGAGACGAACATTTTTGAGAGACTCAACACTCGGCTGGGAACTTTATTGAAACCATTTAACTTAGCCCTCAGGACAAGCTTGAATAAAGGTGTTAAGGTCCCAAACTGAGGGGGGGAAATGAAAAGAAACCTCAGTGAGGTAAATAACTTTATGTTTATATTTCTCTGTATTTTTAAAGAAATGATTACTAAGACTTGAAATAGGTTTAAGGGAGCAAAAGCAGTATTTCTTCTTAACAATGGGGTTCTGGAGTGCTGTTCAAAACTAAGGTTATGAGATGCTGTCGAAGACACAGGAGGATGTATACAGCTGCATCTCAGAAGGCATTCAGCTGCTATTCTTCAAGTTTTGCAGAACCTGCCCGACCTAACCTGGGGGGTGGAGCCCTGTTCTCCCAGCACCTTTCTTCACTCATTCCCACTAATCACTCCATCCCATGCCTCTCATCCCTGCACAAAATGAAAAACTGGCTCATGAAACCCTAACACCTCTACCCATTCTTAAAGATTCTAGAAGTTCTGTTTGGAAATATTGAGAGAAACTGATCTTTTTACTTATAAAAATGATGACTGACAGGTTTATGGGCAGACACTGAAAACGCATAAAGACAGGAGAGTTTAGGACAAATAGTACTATTAGTACTGCAATCCTAAATAATGTATTTGGTAAATATCTCCTAACTAAAAGATTCTTCTTCATGAAGCTAACAAAAGAAAAAGGAACAAAAAGGTGGGGAATGTTTTATTGAAATTATTCAGGTTTGAAAATTTTAATAGATGCAGTACAACTATCAAAAGCCCAAAACTCAAAGACTCAGGAAACTTAATACTCAGCACCACAAAGTTATTATTGTGATATGTAGCATATATTATGTACTATGTAATACAGGCAATCTAGCATTTTTTTGAATTATTATTTTTAAATAGATGAATAAGAAACAAATTTACATACAGACTTCTGGTTGATTTATCTGACTTTTTTCCCCTAAATTTTACTTCTTATGTTACAGTTTTATAATTTACTTTGGAAAAGAAAATATTTCTCAAATAAAACTTGATGAGAAAAAGATACCTTAAGAAATATTCTTAGTTATCACAATTGAGAAATCACTTATTTTTAAAATTTTCTGGAAATGTTACTTTCAAAGAAGCTGATGTATATCTCCTCTACTAAACCTCACTTTTAGCCACTAGATCAAATTTTCAAAGAGAGCTGTAGAATATCCTCTTTAGGATGTCTTAAGATGGCTCCTATATCCTTCTTTGCCAAAAAAAAAAAATAATAATAATAATAATAATAATTGTAGACAAACTTTCATAAGAAAAATAAGAAAGCCAATATAAATTTTAGATGTGTAGATAATTAAGTAGGTCCCATTTAGTTTTTTCCTTTTTATACCACTGTTCTTTTTATCTAAGATACTAAATATAATTTCCTCTCCTATAACCAAAGATTTATAATGTATTTAAAATGCTTAGCATAGGTATTCTCCATAAATTGGTTCTCTTTTCCTTCCAATACTGTCAAAAATCATTTTCATTATGGTTCCCAACATTCTGCATTATTAGATAAGAATTTTACCCATTAAGGCTTATTTTTTTTAAAGAGAGAGAGAGAAAAAAAGTTTTTTTTAATTTTTTAAAAATTTTCGGTGGACACAACATCTTTATTTTATTTTTATGTGGTGCTGAGGATCGAACCCAGTGCCCTGCACTTGCCAGGCGAGCACGCTACCACTTGAGCCACAACCCCAGCCCCAAAGGCTTATTTTTAAGTATAACAAGACTCCTGAATTTGTATCATCTGATTTATATCAAACTGTATCCTATTGTATTTAATTAATATTTCTAAATATATGTCACTCTAGGAATAAATGCAACATTTGATTTTTAATTTTAATTTTTTTTTCTAGTATCCCATCATCTTTACATTATCAGCTAAGTTTTGATGAGATATACTGAACACATATTTGGTGGAAGAGGGATGTAAAATAATGGAATAATGGTTTTTTGAAACTAACCTATACACTGGAGCCCTGATCTATCAATTAATGATAAATATATTATACAAATACTAATGGAGTTTACCCAGAAATAAAAGTCACATGTCATACAGTTTGAGGCAGAAAGGGAGATTACTTATTTTAAGACTCCTAAGTTTCTGTTGAAAGGATTTCACATCATTAAGACACGATGATACTGATTCTTATTTTTCCTTCCTTGTTTCCATCACTGTTCATAAAGGTCAAGTTTGGTATCTCTGCTTGAGATAAATTTGATGCCTTACTGATATAAAATAACTCATTCCACAAAAGGCATTACAATCGATACTTTTTCTTTACCATTTAAAATAAATACACTTTGATATTACAAAAACCTCAGAATGGCAATGTACATACCATACCAATGTAGCAAATTTTCCTCATTCCTGTCTTTATAGACCTAATCACTATATAGCAAGATTAAATTGAACCAGAAACTGCTAACAAATTAAAAATAAAATTCAACCTAAAAGCATCTTTATTATAGCACAGGTGAAAATAAAGTAATTTTATGAAATAAATTATTCATATATAATATTCAAGCTCCAAAGGTCATCTGTTTGAAATGTTTACCTTTTGTTTTTCAAAAGAATAATTCTACTTATATTTACAAGGGAACATGATTTTTCTCAAACCAAATATAAGAGTACATCATTTGTCCCCCATCTTCAGAGAAGAAGGGATTCCACAGTATGACTTCTCAAATAATACCTTATTCATTTCAATGACCAAATTCACTTTACTTAAACTATTTTGGACAGAAATTGTTCTTAACTACATCCCATACTTCCCTACCAGTTCAGGTAGAACACTATAATGAACCTAATTTAAGCACTTGTTATAGGGCTGTCCCATGACTATCTATAAGGTTACTGCGGCAAATTTAAAGACAGCAATAGCCTCAGGACATTAACAAATATAAAGTAATATATTCCTATCCTATATGACTCCATAATGATAAGTTCTTCAATTTGCATTTTAAGAGTCTTCCTGCCCCTAATTAAAAACTCTCACTCATCACTGTTGCTAGGTCTCCTTCACCCATCTTCTAAAATCACTGCTTCTAAACTATAGCTGGTAAATCAGAGAACCATGCAAGTAGTAATTTTACCAAAATGTAAAAGTAACACACTGGGATGAGAATCTCCATTTAAAAGGTACATCAGCTTAGGCTAACAGCATAACTTATATATTTAGTTACTCAGAGAACATTTTCAATTATTTCCTAATTCATGATTATGTCAGATGGTTTTGATTTCTGGGAAAATGACAAAGAAGTTATTAATCTACAGCAATTATTCTTTGTAACTTCTTGCCCATTTTGTAAATGTCCCCATAAGTAAGCAAAAGCCATAGTAGAATCAGACTTACCTGAGGCACGCCTTGTGAATCGATTTATTACTGGAGCTAAAAGAAAAGTGCAGAAAAATATAATTAGATTAAAAATCTGATTTTTCCAAACCCCTACAAAGGCTCAGATTAGTAATCTTATAATGTAAACAGAGAAAATATGAATGAATAAATATAAGAAATACAAAAGAAATGCAATTTAAATCAATATTTTACCTATTAAATTAGTTTCCCCAAACACTTTAAAGAAAATTCACCTGGTTAGAGAAAGCTGAAACTACTTAACTGGGACAGTGTAAAACTATATATTACCTATAGAAAATCTGACAATTACATCAAGTACCATAAAAGGTTTATGTCTGTGGATAGAGTAATTCTACTTTTAGAGATTTATTCTTAAAAAAAGCTCCAAGAGAAGAGGAGAACAATATGTGAACACTTTTCGCATTATCATTTTAAAATTGAAAAAAATAGGAAACAAAGCTAAAAGTGTTCATGTATACAGAGATCATTTTTAGGTGAAGGATAGTATATCCTTGAACATTTCCGATTTAATATTTGTGGTTTTGATATTTTTGTGCAACCCAAATGTCCATGACATGCAAATGTGTACACTGAAAGCTGCGACTCCCGGCTGCTGCGTGCATCACCCAGCTGGCAAGCCTACCGTCTGCCCACATGCCTGACTCAACTCAGCTCTGTGCTGCTGCTTAGGTTTGCTGACACAGTTATCTCAAGTGGAGGGCTCTTTTTTTTTTTTTCCTTGAGACAAGTAAGTAAATTTATGGTTCATATTATATAAGACAAGACCTCACATAAAATACTGTATATTTTATTTGCAGAATGTCATGGGTCTACTAAAGTACTCCAATACTTTCAAAAGAACAACTATGAAAGTTGTTTACACTATGTACTCACTTGGGTCAAGGAAAAGACATAATTTTTAACAGTACTGTGGTCACACTGCATGACGAATATATAAGAGTAAGTACCAGGAGAAAACCACATCAGATTTTTACCTTCATCTTTGCAAACATGCTATTAAACATCAGCATCATCATATTACTGATGATTAAGTTTTATAGTAAGGCTTAGAGAAATTAATTTGTTTTAAATCAAATAACCACCCTGTAGCAAATCTGGAGAATTTGAACCTAGGAGTATCTAGAACCAAAACAATCCCTTAGAAAGAACAGAAGTGAAAACACTGATTCCCGAAATCACATCATAGGAAATGAATACTTTCTTTCATACTGATCTTCACTGTCATTAAAGATTAACTTCACTAAATAATTCACAAATCCAATTATTAAAATAGCATAGAGTTTGCAGCAAAATATATCCTCCAGACTGATCGAGAAAAAATTCTTATTATTTACATACCAAAATAATTTAGCCATGTATTTGCACAGTCAAAAATTACTTATATCAAAAAAAGTTCAATACTGCAAGTATTTTAAAACACAAAGGTCCTTCAGTTTCCTTGGATGCTTTTAATCCCCCTTTTCATTACTCTTTTGGAACCTAAAGAGTCTCCCCTGCAGAATACAAGGACAGTGACAAGAGACAATGTACAAAGACATTCAACCATAGGAATGCAGAACAGAGTACCTCAGATAAAGAAAGATGAGGGCTAAAACCCTATCTAGAGCTTGGGGCAAAAAATAAAAGTAGATATTCGCTGCCCTCCTGTCCAGATGAAACCACAGGGCTATGAGCTTCAGGCTAGACATGGTGGGAAATCTCTGTTCTCCTGAGTCCTTAGGTTTATGCATCTATCTGAAGTGGTTGAAGAAGAGGACTTCCTGCACCAATGGCCCTGTCATCTAAAACACCTTTTTTTCCTTCTTCTTCTTCTCCTTCTTTTCCCTTGGTTCTTTTTTTTTTTTTTTTTCCTTTTTGGTAGTGCTGGGGATTGAACCCAGGGCTTCATGCATGCCAGGCAAGTACTTTACCACTGAGCTATATCCTAGGCCCCCAGCTCTTTAAATTTGTAGGGATAATTCCGATTGTCATACTAATTCAGAAAACACCCTTGGCATTTGGCAGGCAAACTCCAGAACAGTCCTACACTAGAAAGAACTGTCCTACATTCCCAGTTTTCATCCAATATGACTTTCAAATACCCCACAGGGCATTCCTGATTCTAACACTGCTTTACATATGTACTTGATTACTTTATGCTGTTTTAATATATATACATATCAAATTTTCTCAAACAAAACTATGTAAATCAAAGGAATTACATTTTCTTTTTTATACTCTAATTGGAATTACACTTTACTAGATGTTCACTCTTTCAGGAAGTCTATGCCACTTGCAACAACATCATTTGTCATTTGGGCTATTTGAATACCAATGCTTGGTATTCAAATAGTACAGTATGCTTGGTCACCTAGACATTTTTTTAAATTTGAATTTGTTATATCTGATAGCAGAATGCATTACAATTCATATTATACATACACAATTTTTCGTATCTCTGGTTGTACACAAAGTAGAGTCACACCATTCGTGTCTTCATATATGTACTTAGGATAATGATGTCCATCTCATTCCACCATCTTTCCTATCCCTATGCCCCTCCCTTCCCCTCTCACCCCTCTGCTCTATATACAGTTCCTCTAATCCTCCCATGCTCCCCCACCCACCCACCGCATCCCATTATGAATCAGCATCCTTATATCAGAAAAAATACTCTGCATTTGTTTTTTGGGGGGATTGGCTAACTTGACTTAGCATTAAATTCTCCAACTCCATCCATTTATCTGCAAATGCCATAATTTTATTCTCTTTTAATGATGAATAGTATTTAATTGTGTATATATACAACATTTTCATTATCCATTCATCCTCTGAAGGGCATCTAGGTTGGTTCCTAGACAGTTTAGCTATTGTGAATTGTGTTGCTGTAAACATTGATGTGGCTGTGTCCCTGGAGTATGCTGTTTTTAAGTCCTTTGGGTATAGACCAAGGAGTGGGATAGCTGGGTCAAATGGTGGTTCCATTCCCAGTTTTCAAGGAATCTCCAAACTGCTTTCCATACTGGCTGCACCAATTTGCAGTCCCACCAGCAATGTATGAGTGTGACTTTTTCCCCACATCCTCGCCAACACGTACATTGGAGAAAAGATAGCCTCTTCAACAAATGGTGCTGGGAAAACTGGAAATCCATATGCAACAAAGTGAAATTAAACCCTTATCTCTCACCATGCACAAAATTCAACTCAAAGTAGATCAAGGACCTAGGAATTAAACCAGAGACATTGCACCTAATAGAAGAAAAAGTAGGCCCAAATCTCCATCATGTTGGATTAGGCCCCAGCTACCTTAATATGACTCCTATAGCACAAAAATTAAAATCAAGAATCAATAAATGGGATGAATTCAAACTAAAAAGCTTCTTCTCAGCAAAAGAAACAATCAGTGAGATGAATAGAGATCCTATATTTTAGGGACAAATTTTTACCACAAGCACGTCAGTTAGAGCACTAATCTCTAGGATATATAAAGAACTCAAAAATCTTAACACCAAAAGAACAAATAACCCAATCAATAAATGGGCCAAGGAACTGAACAGACACTTCTCAGAAGAAGATATACAATCAATCCACAAATATATGAAAAAAATGTTCAACATCTCTAGCACTTAGAGAAATGCAAATCAAAACTACTGTATGATTTCATCTCACTCCAGTCAGAATGGCAACTATTAAGAATACAAACCTACCCAATTTTTATAGCTTTTTAGTCTAGCTAGTCAAACAGGAATTAAGGTTGATTCAGGGTAGAGGCCTTGCTGGAAATAAAGACATGTGCATCTGGCCACACTGTCATTTTCTCTCTCAGGGACCTACGGCAGGGAAGGGAGCCAGGGGTGAGGTAAGGTCAGTACTGCCACCTTTCTGACCCTTCACATCACTGGTGGTGGTGGTGAAGGTGGGTAGGACAGCAGGCAAGAGCCGTGGGTGCCACTACTGGCCCCATAGCCTCCCATGAAACTGAGGATAGTGCATGTAACTTAAATTCTCAGCTCATGAAATACGGATACTAAGACCTGTCTTTCTTCTTCAGAGGGTTTTTTTTGGGAAAAAAAAAAAGAAAACATATTTTTAAAAGTGCCTGTCAACTATAAACTCCTATTCGAATGTAAAGGACTGATGCTTATTTACTGTGAACTAACAATACCATTTTTTAAAAAAATATTTTTAGTTATAGATGGACACAATGCCTTTATTTATTTTTACGTGGTGCTGAGGATCGAATTAGTGCTCTACTATTAAGCCAAAACTCCAGCACCAACATTACCATTTTTAAAGCATACTAAGTAAACAACAATACAAATTGTCATAAAAGAAAGTTTACAAATAAAGATGTTCTAAAATGTGACAAGTCAAATTAAGTTTTCTTAGGAATCTTGGTTTCACCTTCAGATTTTCTCACTCATGGATATTCTGTGAATATGCACATGTGTCATACAAATATATACATATATTCACCAAAAACACGTACACACACATATATTGGGGAAGGAGAAAGAGAATATTAGAAAACAGGACATGTCCAGAGAAACAAATATGATTTAAAGATATACCAAACTCCTACATTTTCAAAAGCTATAACCTAAGATCTTAGGGAATCCCTGAGGACAAATACAGAAATATTTATGTAGGTTTGACTTTCTCCCAAATACCTGAGAGTCCTGTGTGCTACTAGGAGTATTTTCACACCGTATGAGCAGAGATCCATTCAGTTGCCAAAGTATATCCGAGTAGATTGGTTTTACTTGCTGAGCTCCTGAAAGACTGGAAGTATAATTCAAGTCCTCATTAATCCTTGAGGATCCTTAGAAGAAAAAGACTCCTTTATTTTGGATAAACTGAAGGAGTCTCTCAATACCTAGCAGTGAAAACAGCCTCCCACACCTGTTTGCACTGAGCTCCCGACAGTCAGTGCCAACAGGAACTGCTTATCTTTCACCTCTTCATGCAGGTTCTCAGTTAATAACCACAGAGTGAATCAATAAACACTGAAAAGTACACAGAGCAAGCCTCCT